ACAAAGTCTTCGATGCCACCTACGCTATGTCTTCTATACACATGCTTTTCAAGCAGTGAGTTTGGAAAAAGCTCTTCATTATGTACAACTTCCCTGCCCATATCTGTATTTCTTACATGAGGCTTTTGACTAACGCTGGTATGTACTTCATTCTGTTCTGTCTTGTCATTTAAATTAATTTCTGCTTTTATGCCAGTTTCAGACTGGGCAGAAAGTTCATCACTGTGCTCTTTTGTTTGAGATGGATTTTCCTTTAGAACAGTTGTTGTCTGAATTGTTTCGTCTGTATGCTGCTGTCCGAAGTTTGCAGATGTGTTGAGTGCAGTTGCTGCTACAGGAGAAGAGGATGCAGTTTTGCCGATATCACTGCGTTCAAATCGTGAAGCAATGCCAATTTTAGGATCTGATCTAGCAGTTCTGTGCAGACTTGGATCTCTGAATGCCCTGTGAGATTCAAGCAAAGAACCAACTGTGTAATTCTGCTTTGGACTTAGAGGAGATACAGTCTGGATGCTTTTCTTCTGCCTGATGGCATTCCCCCGGTCTTCACTGCCATCATTTGTGCTTCCGGAACTGTTGCTGCTCTTGTTTTTCTTTCCAGAACCTGTTAGTTTATATTTCGGATTTAACAAAATCTCCAGCTTCTGATCGAAAGTTGTTGTGATGCTAGTCAGTAGGTCAGATCCATCTTCTGAATCTGTAGAGGCCCAAGAGGCTCGCTTCTCCTGCTTATCTATCATGTCAATGAGGGAGTCGAGGGAGCCACCCCGTCGGCCTTGGCTGTTTTTTGTGGATAACTGCCGTTGTAATACTCCACCTGCAGTCAGGTGTATTACTTTCTGCTGACTGTCTTGTGACTGTTGACTTGGTTTACTAATGACTTGTGGCTTTCTAGAATGACTCAGCACATCTTCATGTGATCCACGTCTGCATATTCTACACTGCTGAGCAGCTGCTGGTTTTAATATGGCTGTCTGAGGTGGTACACTGGCTACTTTTGCCAAAATATGACTAGAAGGTTCAACTTTCAATTTGCTCTCTCGTCGAAATTTTTTTTTATCTGTAATTTCTTGTTTCCCCCTTGCAGCAGCAGCATTTCCAGAATAGCCCTGGCCAGATGTTTCAGCAGAAAAAGAGCTGCTAACTAGATCTGGCATTCTCAAGGATGGGAAGCCAGTCTCCCAAGCTAACCAATCCTCAACACTATGACTGTCCTCCTGCTCCAGCTCTAGCTGTGTTCGAAAATGCTCTCTCTCTACCATCTCCTGCTCCCTTTTGCGGCGTTCCCTCTCCTTCTGTTGCTTTTGTTCAAACGTATGAAGGAGAGCACTTACGTCTTCTTCAATTCTTTTTAATCTATTAATAGCATCCTGGCTGAGACTGGTGGGCAAGCCATGTGTTATCTCAAGCTCGTCATTCTTATCTTCCATGTAGTCATCAGACACATGCCCAGAATGGCCAGACGATGGACTTTTAGAACCGGCATAATCCAGCTCTGGAAAATATGACCTGGTGCTGGCACTGTGACCAAACGGGTGCACATCTAGGTAAACTGTTGAAGGCACCGAGCTTCTGCTTCCCAACAACTCTTGTGAAATTCCCAAAGAAGAATTGATTGAGGCCAGAGATTTTGCAAGTGATGGTAAGTAAACAGGTTCGCTCCTATTATGATCCCTGGCACTGGACGCACTGACCACACTACCGCTGTCAACCATATCCAGGGACTCTGTGCTCTTCTGCTGCTGCTGACGAAGCTTCTTGCTGGCTGCACCCACAATTGAAGAAATGATCTCCTTTGTGCTGATGGCTGAGTCGGCTTCTTCTGTGAATGCATAAGGAATACATTACCATTATTCATAAGTGCTTAAACAATTAAAATAGAAATAAGGTGATTCTTAACTAAACAAAGGCAACTTGAAAAAATTATTGTCTGTGTGTGAATTAAATACCCGCAATAGTGACAATGGTCCTGAAATCCCATGTCCTAATCATGCAAGATTTTTTTCTTCAATGCAAGCAGGTCTTGCTAGTCAAACTCGTCACTGCCAATGGCTGCGATTCCAATGTCTCTTCACAGCAAAATATAACATTATTATCTGGAAAGATTCCCGTGTGGGTTTCAAAACCCCATTTTTAGGGAGGGGGGGGGAAAGTGTCTCCCTAACAAGCATGTTGTACAAAACATTTTATGTATGTTTCCGTTAAAGTCAGAAGGCATCTGCCTGAGAGGAATGAACCAACAGTCTGCACACAAATAAGCCAGATCTGTGAAATGGATGTACACGCAAAACTCAAGTTCTGGAACATGATCAAAGTCCAGAAGTGGACGAACAACTGGAACTTTCCCTTGGAGTTTACAGTAAGTGAATGCTAAGATGAAGAAAAAGATCTGGAAAGAGGTCAATCTATACAACATAATCAATAAAGGGCAATCTATGTTAGCATCTGGCATGCACGAATAAGCTACTGACAACCATAACAGTGAATGATGCCTATACATACCATCATCATCTTTGGACAAGTTCTGTCCTAAATCCACTGGTACAGTTTCCACTGTTGTCTCCATGGGGATGTAACTATCCTGATCCCAAGGGCTGAAGAACCAATCATGCTGGCAACAGAAGAAACAAAAACATTATTAACAATAAGATGAACGTACACCTTGTATTTATTGTAAAGGTTGAAAGTTGGAGATCCACTAAAGATGTGGAATAAAAGTTAAATGCATTTGAAAACAAATTCCTGGGGAAAATGATGAACATAAAATTGAATGAATTCAAGAGGAGGGAAGAAATAAGAGAAATTTCTGGGCCACCACTAAAATCAACAACTGTAAGACAGAAGATGGTGCTATACTGGACACGCTGTGAAAAAGATGAACAGAGAATCACCAAACAGGCAGTGAAATGGGAAACAGAGGGACTGAGAAAACAGGGATGTCCAAAAACCTAAGGTGAACGTCGATGAGAGATGGCAAAGCTGCTGGACCAGATTCCATCCATGATATCAAAGTGACTACACAGAACAGAACGGAATGGAGAAATAGACTGCGAGCTGTATTTAAGGTAAAAGGTAAAGTTGGAAGATGTGAACCAGCATCATTGCACACGGTTATAAACCATAAGTGCTCTGCCACCAGTACAGACAGCTGATAAGAAACTGTCCGCCTATGTCGCCGTCTGCACATAACTCTGTAGCTACAGTGCTGTTCCTCCATTTACCCCAGAGTGTCACTCTGGTACCCATTTCCTAGAGGCTGGGTGAACCCCGGGAACCGCCCGGTTTTGAACACCGACCGTGGCTACAGCAGCTCCTGTATGTGATATATAATGGCACAATAGGACAATAAGTGAATTGTAAAGCTAACTCAATGCCAGACACCATAGCAGTTCACATTGTTCATTTAAAGATTATCTTCATCGCATACAGGACATGAATGACCATAGGTGCTCTGATCTCCTCCTGAGTATGTCCTCCTGAGTATGTTATTTTAAAGGCTAATAACTCCCAATCTGAACACTTCACTAGTAAAAGGTGATGATCAAGAGATGGAGTGACCACTTGCTTCATCACTAGCTTCAACTCCCAGAATAATCTGGACACTTATTTCTCACAGCTGCATCGGTCTAGACTGTATTTGATTTTTTAAAAAAAGGCTTAAAGAAAATTAACTAATTCTGCACTAAACAACATGTCAAATGTTCATTTGTGATTCTGCATGCAATATACTTTCCTTAACTTCTGCTGCTTGTTACATTAGCTCCTATATCCTAACTGTCTCTTTAACACTTATGTCCTATATGGTTATTAACTTAAGGTAAATGAATCTATACACTAATTGTTTAAAGTTATCACTACTAGTATACTGTATATATATTCATCATTGTCAAGTGCCTTGCTGACTGGCGTGGTTAATCATGCCTCTCCACAATCTGCAACTGTGTGTATTAGTTTGTGTTAACAAAAGCCAATAGAATCTTCTCACGTTGTATTCCTCTATCTCTCTGTCCACAAATCTTTCCATTGGTCACAACATGTTCCATTTTCTCTCTTCTCATTAAATGACCAAAAAATGATGACTGTCTCTTTCTCTGCTTGCGATAAGTTGTCTTTGAGCACCTGCCTCTTAAAAAAAATCTGGGTTACTTTTCTCAGCTGTCCAAGGAATTCTAAGGATTCTTTTGTTAAACCACATCTCTGAGGCCTCAAGATATTGTTCGACTTGGTTATATTAGATGTCCAGGATTCACAGCGGTGTGTTAAAACCAGCTCTCTCTCTCTTTCTCTCTCTCTCTCTCTATATATATATATATATAATATAAAAATAATTAGGTGTCCGCTTTCTAGGACTAACTGAATTAATATTTTTGCTTCCAAAATGTTTTAGTCAACAAAAGTCATCCCAAATGTTTATAAAATTAAGTAAATAAAGCAGAATCTTTTTTTTGTCTTCTTCCGCCTTTATCCCATAACAGAACAGACAGCATCTACTTGTTTCAAAACTCTTTTTTTTTCAACTCCATCATTTTCATCCTCAAGGACTTTACAGAATGTCGATCTTGTCATCCTACACCTGAAAGTCGCTCATTCTATAGTCAATTCTCCAGCCCTATGTGCTTTCATAGTCAATGCATCTTCAGTGTCTTGTATCCACCTTCACAGAGGTCTGCCTCTGTGTCTTTTTTCAGAAACGGCAACCTGCATCACCACTCTCTACTGGCTAATGTGACGTTCAAGGTGGCTAAAATAGCTCAGCTTTTGGAGACAGGATGCTGTTTATGAGCCAATTCTTCTCAATGCTCAGATCATGTAGGATATCGTTTTTTTGTGGGGGATCCATGGTAATAGAAGAATTTTTCTGTAGCATTCTTTTCAAACTCCATAAGACTAACAAATGATTGCTTTAATACACAAAATCTTTAGATAAGACAACAACCATCTGGGACTAAAAGAATGAAGTACGGAAATTAAAATGGCCTTTTAAATAATGGGTAACCTACATGAAGAATGATACTCTCCACAATGCGACACTGGTCGGACATGTCTGTTACAAGGGACACAGTGTCATCTCCTTTCTTCCGCACCAGTGTTGGACCAAACATAATAGCCAGGTTCTTAGCATCCATCTGTAGGAAAGAAAAAAAAAAACATTTAGAATAAGCAATACTATAAAAGGTCTCCTTGTGACAGGTAGTGATGATGTGAAGTAAAAGACATAACATACACTAGATACCTGTGTAGGTTCCAGGGCCTGGTTTTAGGGGAAAAAAGGAACAGACTCACTGAACCCGTAACAAGCATGTCATAAAAGGTGACAAATAAGAAAATTTTATTCTGAAGTTGGAGCATGTCTCATACGTACTACAGAACCCTCTCTATGCCAAGGCCAGCAGTGCTGTCACGCTAAACAGACAAATAGGAAGCTAGTTCCGAACAACAGTATGAGTCCGGCATGGCTGCCTCCTCTCTCCAACACTGTTTAATATATTTTTAGAAAGAATTATGACCGATGCCCTATAAAAACATCATGGAACAGTTAGTATCGTAGGTCGATCTATAGCAAACTTAAGGTTTGCAGATGACATCGATGGGCTGGCCGGAGTAGAACAAAAACTAGTCGACCTTGCAAATCTACTCAATGAAACATCAACCAAGTATGGCATGGAAATAAACGCAGAAAAAAACAAAAGTAATGACTAATAATCCAGCTGGCAGAATTTCACATATCTACGTTAAAGGCCACAAATTAGAACAAGTGACTCATTTCAAATATTTAGGATCCATTTTAAGCGACTTGGGGTCACGGCCAGAAATCATGACTAGGATTGCCCAGACAACATCAGTCCTTGCCAAGTAGTAAACATTATGGAGATCCAAAAACATTTCAAGTAAAACTAAGAGCACTAGCTATATTAGTACATTTACATATGGCTGTGAAAGGTGGACCTTAACAGCTGAACTTGAAAGAAAGATACAAGTATTAGAAATAGGATGTTTCAGAAACATTCATGGCATATCATACAGAGACCACATTACAAACGAAGAGGTTCACCATAAAATTATACAGCACATTGGCAACTATAAACCTCTTTTAACTACAGTGAAAAGGCAAAAAATGCAATGGTATGGACATGCAATAAGATCTAACGGACTCTCAAAAACAATACTGCAGGGCTCAGTAGAGGGAAAGAGAAGAGGCAGACCAAGAAAGAAATGGTTACAAAACCTGACTGACTGGACAGGCCTTAGGTATGCAACCATGAAGTCCATCGCAACTGACCGCCAAAGGTAGAGAGATGATTAGACAGTCAACAGAAACTGGTGACCCAATGACACGTAGTGTTACAGGATGATGATGATAATGGAGCATGTCTGCCTGAGCAGTAAGGAACCAAACATCTGCATACTAGTAGGCTTGATCTGTAGAATCGATATGCATGCAAAACTAAAGTTTTGGAGCAAGACTCAAGAAGCGGACAAACAACCAGAAATTTCCACCAGAGTTTACACCTCATGTGAAGAATAAGATACATATTCTTTATCAGCTGAGGTTGTGAGTTTGTTTCATAGACTGCACTGCTCGGTTCATGAGTGCAATTTTTACGTAGCAGGAGCTACAGAGTTTGTGCTTTGTCTGACTTTCATCAGGCGGCTAGCTGTTTTATTATTATGGGATGAAACCTGGTACAATGGAGTAGTTTTTCTTTCTTTTAAAAATGTGTGTGTGTGCAATAAGTCGTGCTTTCACTAGCACTACTCGTCTTCTAGGGGTTGATGCGACTAGTGGATGATCTTACTCACATTCTAAGGTGAAATAGCTGTGACAAGCCGACACCATCTCCAAGATACAATACTGTTTATTGACATCTAAACACTTAAATCAATTGTCCCGTCCATGTCCTAATCAACAGCTTTCACGCACCACATTGTTCAGACGCCAACTCGCTGACTCCTCACACATTCACCAACCAGAGTTCGGCGTCTTCAGTTCCACATTGCCGCATAGATGGATCTGGTCATTGCATCAAGCTTCACACAACTGACTTGGATGGACTTGACTTCGATGGATGTTGTTGTCTGGTCTTCCTCTCGCAACAATCAGTTCCACGTTCTCATTCGCACGATCACTCTCATGTCCTCTCGTTCTTACAGTCAACACATACTGTCTGATCAGACTGGGGTCTGACTTTATACCCAGTGTTCGTTCCACGTGGCAACACGTGGTTGTTCTTGTTGTCGTTCTCCTTGGGTTCCATGTGATAACACGTGGTCGTTCCCTACCTTGAAAACCTCAATTAATCCGAGTATCTGGCTTCTCTCTGTATTATTGTTAACTTGGGGCTTTCCCCCCAACCTTCCCAATCAGGGAGAAAATATCCCCCATTACAGTGTGTGTGTATGAGGCCAATGGGGTAGGAGTGTATGAAATGAGAGCTCACCTTGTTGATGTGTCCATATGAAGCTACTTTGTTCAGATGTTCTGCCATGCGCTTCAAAGTTTCATTATGGTGGGGAGGCAGCAAATGAAGAAGCCGCTTGATCTTTAATTTCCTCTTGTCCTCATCGGGATATCGATTAGCTTCGATGAATCTTTCATACATATCTGGAAGCCAGACAGCAAAGAAAACAATTACTTTCACATAATTTAAAAAATAGCTTCATGTTCTAGCCAAAGTCATTATCTTACTAAAGAATATCTAATAAGGTAACAATGTTCGGTTACATGCCAGTCTGATATATGGAAAATTTAGAATATTCAGCCATTAATGTCAAACTGGTACTTCAGCACAGAGCAGAAATATGAAGAATGACAAAAAAAAACTTAAAAAGTTACTAAAAAACTACAAACAGCTATTAACTGGAGCCTGGATAGAATAGAAAGAATTAAATGTACGAGAGAATCATATGTGTATGATAGACTACCACCAGATAGTGCACAAGAGAGTGCCCTGTCACTTAAACATAATGAAGCAGAGCTGGATGTTGACCATGCAAGCGCTGGACATATGGAATATCCGAGCCCATAAATACAAGAATCCATATAGCGCATACCAAGGCTCACACCCAATGCCTCTTCAAAACCTAACACTGAAAGACAGAAAGGATGAGAGAGAAGAAGAAGAATCATTGATGCAAAGCTTACAGGCAGAACTAAACAAATTCCAATGAATCAAGAGGTGAGGAAAAGATGCACATCACAATGTGCCACTGCCCACAGAAGAAGAAAAAGAAGAAGAAGAAGAAGAAGCAGAGATAAAAGAAGAAAATGGCTTACCTGTTGGTATAAGCGGTTCAGGCAGTTTCCTAAAGAAAGACTTTAGAAGGCTGCTGATGACATTGATATCCAGCAATTTTTCATTGTCAATGTTGACACTGTCAATGCCCCGATTAAACTCCTCTGTCAAAGCGGTGACTGCAGCTGAGTTTCCTGGTACACGGTAAACTCCCACTACCTCTAAGCCACGTGCCTCCACTATCCGTGTGCACAACTCCACAATCAGAGGAACAAACTGAAATGTAGTCATATTTGTGGATGAGAAATATAGTTTACAAATGCACAGTTCTGGTTTTTGTTATTTACAAGTTATAATTAAACTGCAATATATATATCTATGTTACATATATCTCAATTGAAGAAAAAAGACTTAACCAAGTCAATAAATTCAAATATCTGGGAACAATTGTATCATCAGATGGAAAATGTGTGACAGAGATTAAAAGCAGAATCGGTCAAGCGAAGGCAGCATTTCAGAAAATAAAAAAATATCTTATGCAATAAGTCTTTCATTTAATGTCAGAAAGAGAGCGCTAAAATGTTACAAAAAAACCTGTTCTGCTGTATGGCGGCGAATCTTGGAATGTCAGTGAACAAATTAAGAAGAATTTGGAAACAACAGAGATGCGGTTTCTGAGATGAATGTTACAAATACCTTGGACGGCCAGAGTAACTAACAACGATTGTTTGAAAGAAGCTAATGAAAGTAGATCTCTATATATACAACAATAAGAAGACGACAAACACTATTCTTTTCGTATCTTCTTCCAGTTGCTCTTTACATAAATATTACCCCCTTAAGTGATATTTCAAATGCACAGCTACTGAAAGGAACATAATTGTGACACTCAAAAGTTTTGTAATTTTGTGACATTCAAACGTTTTATAATTTACTGAGTGAAACTGTTCAAATTGCACACACGAATACCTTACGGTTAAGCCAATCTACTGGCCTTTCATTTGCATCTGGGTCATCAATAGTTTATTTGGTGTATGGGCTTTCCTCTCCACCAATAGGATAACCATTTGCTTCCTTTTTGTTTTAAACAGTAAATTTTGACTTACTTCATTGTGAGGTGAAGGAAAGCAATCTTCTAAGGGCACACCAAACTGAAATTTATTGGTGTCAATATCCTGGTCTGCAGAAAGAAGAAGGCTCGAATCTTCACTATGTTTTTTCAGACTCTTCATCATAGGAATACGATCCTTCCAGCCCTTCTTGAAGCTCTCGTCTGAAAGAGTATATTACAAAAATAAGTTACAGCTTACGCATTACAGGTATACACATTCTGATAGACTCTACAATTAAATGAGTACTGTCAAAAAAAAAAAAAAAGGTCAATTTTTCATCCAGTGATGACCCACATGGATCGTAAAAGCTGCACTTGTGAACCGAACAGCGCAGCTTTAAAATGAACCCACGACTTTCACAGCGTGAGACAAACGGCTTGACCACTTTACCACCGAGACACTCAAGAGTCTAGCATCATATGCCAAATGCATCAACAGTGTAAAAAGACTCCTAAACTGAAGAGGTATAGTAACTAACTGACTAGGTGTCAAATTGCCAACTTGGACATAATAATTACAAGTAGTAACTAAGACATAAGGAACAGTAATAACTGTAAAAAAGAACACATCCTCTTAGATACCATTCTGAACAGCTTACAACAGTCAGCTAATAAGTTGTTGACACGGCCACACAACCCAACCATTATTCCATTTACCTTTATCTTTCTCTGTAGCATTTGACTTCTTTCTTTTCATATTGGGAGAAGCCGTCAGTTTTGACTTGAAGGACAGAGCTGACAACTTCTTGCTCTTTTGGCCCATCTGTGGGGATGTTTTACTGCTGGGAATAATGTTGATTTCTATTGGAGATGGCATCTGTTTTTCTTTTCCTCCCACTTGATTATCTTCCTGCAGAATTGGTAAAACACAATTTATTTAAAAATCTATGAATATACTGTCAAAAAAATTTTTTTTTAAAGTACCTCTTCTACGTAGGAATCTAACATGCACATAGGAACACTCTTCTCCTTCTTCTATGGTGATTTTTTAATTTCGATAAAACTGAAAGCAACAGTGATAATACTAAGATTTGAAACTTCCGATTTCAAGTTAGGATAGCACCTCACTGAAGGAACAAGTGCCCTTTGAAAAGCAAAGTACAAAAAGACATCAGTACAAATGTGTTTACTTCATCTGGCTCTATCATTCATATAACCAAGGAGAAAAGAGATTCAATTTTCTGGAGGAGTCTGTTTGGAATCTCTCTCAAACATGACTTATGGACATGTTGTGAAAGGTGGAGACAGGTATGTTTCATGCACAGGGGTAGTTAGCATTTTTTGGATATTTTCTCCATGGCATAAAAGTGGGTTGGTAAATGAACAGGCAGATAGCTTGGCTGGTTTCTGCACCATCTGGTGGTAAACTGATGCAAGACAAGCTAGATGTTGTAATGGTCCCTTGGAAGTGAGTGACTAGATCAGAGGCACAAACAGATCATCATGGTCTGAAAAGAATGGCTCAGTAAGGAGTGTCCAGGGGATCTAGTTGATGCCCAACACTCAGAGAGTGGGAGCTGAGTGGTCTTGAGGTATAGTGTCTGCCTCGAGTGCCCGAGTTCAGGCCCCGGTGAAGGCTGGGATTTTTTCACGAGGACTTCTAGTAAATTCCTCTGTTCTCTAGGTAGTAAGATTGGATACCTGTGCGTATTGTTGTGCACGTAAACAAATCCCTCGGCAGTTGGAAATCGAAAAGAGTAGCTTAACGGCGCTGCCAAGGCAAAATTTGGAGTTAAAAATCTACCAAAAGTATTTCAGGATCCCCGCTGGTGCTACAGAGTTCATGTACTGGGCTGAGATTCTTCGGACTCAAGCTTGAGTTAGAAGTAGAACAGAACACTTATGGGTAACTACCCTTGGGCCGTGATGTGGATCCGTTGTATAAACTAAACTAAACTCAGAGAAAGGCGAGATATTACTTGTAATATCCAAATAAGAACTCTGCTCTGGCATTTGAGGATGGGGATGGAGTGCTTATAGGAATGTCCAGATGGCTATGATGTCAGTTCTTAACTCATCTTAATGTAGCCGGGCAGCCACGAGTTTAGCTGGACTTGCAAAAAAGTCTGGCAAGCAGAGTGCAGAATTTGATAAAAGGGCTTGTTAAACTGTACAGACCTAGATTATCAGTATGTAGCCTTGCTCGGACATAGTTTGATTGCAGGTCGCTATAGACGATTTACTGATCTGGTGGTATGTTGAAGCTTAACGTACATGTTAAGATGTTTCGATTTTTGCCATCACTGATGTAAAATTTCTGAACGTATGTGTTCATCATCCTATTTCCTTGTTAGTGGAGTAGTAGCACATGGTCTGGCTGAGCACGTGGAGGGTTGTTAATGTATTGTTATTTGTTAACCAGATGAGTTTTGTGTTCAGTAAAATAAACAGATGTTTAATGTGATAATTATAGCTCCAGTTGTTTTGATTTTGGTTAGACTACCAATTAGACTTCATACAGAACATGTCCTGTCAGGGCTAAAATAGTATTGGTCTTAGTCCCCGCCTAACAAACTTTTTCTTTTTTTCTTGTTAATGAGGCAGCCTGAGAGTGGGTTGGCTTACACTTACCATGACAATTCTTGGTGGAGCTCTTGTATGCTTAGAGTAGATAGTTTAAAGGAGTATATTTTTATATTATCTTTCATAGTGTCTCTTCCCCCTTAAGCTTCGCTTCTAGTACATTAAGTATGGCAGACAGCATCGCACAAAGCAACTCCAGCAACAACCCCAGGCATCTCCATATAAATTGCACTCGTAAACCAAACAACTTAGCTATGACATGAACCCATGACCTTTAGAAAGCGGGGTTAATGGCTTGACCACTTCACTAAGGAGACCCCCTACCTAAATAAGTAAAGTAACATTTGGCAGTTACAAACATTGATACAAAATATAATACACATATCGGTGACTAACTTTCTCGGTTCTCTCCGTTTCGCTGACAGACTTAATGCCTTGAATCCAACACATCATCATCCCCCGGTCTTCTGTCTGAAACAGGTAGTCACACTCATTCTGTGTGCACAAACGAAATACATTTTTCTTCTTCTTGGCATAGTCACGAGCAAACTCCACAGTGCAGGCCTTGAGAGGGATATGCTGGTCCTCAAAGTTTCCGGATGCCTGCAAGGAAGAGTTTGAAATGGTAAGATTAATAATAAAAAAATTAAAATTAATTTAAAAAAAAAGGCTAAGGACACATTTTACGCCAGTGGCACATCGAACATATGTCCCTCATATATTTAAATATCGGAACCCGCCAAGGCATAGCAGCTAGACGCTATCTGCAGATCGGAAGTTTGTGGGCGATGTGGTTAACATCACGCTGGCCAACTTTACTTCCCAGAATTTTACCTGGTACCAATTTCAGGCTGGGTCAACCTGGAAACAAGGGTCATTTAAGGGAAAAAAAAACCACAATCCGATACGATATGGATTTGAACCCATGATCTTTGCGCTGGAAGGGTATGTGTTCAGCTACTACACCACCATGGCTGCCTTAGATAAGATAACACTTAAATAAAATTACTTCCATGGCAAGCGTGCTATTTTTTTAAAAGTATCTCTAATTTAAATACCCCTTTTCTGTCTTTACTTCTGAAGTCTAGGCATCTTTTTCACTACCTAGAGATCAACTGGAGTACTGTAAATTTTTTTTGCCTTGCATATTCTGCAGTACCTCATCCATTGTGCGACTACAAAAGTGACTAAACATGAATTCTTTCGAAAGAAATATACAAATCATAATGTCTCTTGTTACACTGTACAACGGATTTTACAAATCTATCTTCTCACAAAAACATTTACGTAATATTTGTTTTACTTACAGATCCGGCCTCCTTATCTCGTGTGAGAAATAGCTCTGTAGGGCGCAAGATTGCGTACACTGCCTTCCAGGTACGATCGCTGCACTTCTGTTGTAACAAGCAATAAATATAAATATTACTGAGTTGAGAACTTACATCGTAGCAATCTGGACATTCCACGTTAACAGAAATGTACAAATCTGCAAGCAGGAGTAGTAATTTAAACAGTAATATCCTCAGTAATATCCTGATGCACCCATCCATGTTATAATTAGGACATACAGAATTTTTTTTCATTGAAATAATGGATATTTATGCCTATCAATTATGTTTGGTTATTCAATATTGCCTAGCTTATGTATTAACTGTTGAACCGCGAAGGCTAACTCAGTCAACAAATGCCCGCAGAAGTCGGATGTGTTGGCCGAAAGGTGCAAATATCGCAGCCATGTTGTAGACGGACACAACGCAATTACATCTTCGGATGAATGCAGAAGAAGAAGAAGTATTAACTGTTGTAGATTGTAGGAGTACAGATTGTAAAGTTCAACATATTTTAATTGCACTTTCAAACAGTTCTAGTAATTACACTGTGTGGTCTATTTCTGCGGATATTTAAAGTGATATGGGATAAACTGTCATCAGTACAATCTGAATACATAATTGAAACTGTGGTATTTACTGTGACTAACAAAACTACAATTTAATCTGCATTCTCAATGAGGAAAATAATTTTATATTCTCCTTCATCTGTGTTCATCCTCAAAGGCAGTTGGCACACAGTGTTGTGGCTTACAGCTACGCAACCATCCTTTGCTGGCATAAATAAACTTTTGCCATTGTATCCTGTTGTCAGGAAGGATATTGCATGATGATTACAGTGATGGGGAAATCCCTTGAAAGCAAACATTACTCAGAAGGCACATCTAAAGTATCATTACATTCTGTTAATGTAGAGAAATTTAAAAAAAACTGACACTTTATAACTGATCAAGTCAAACAAAATGTCACAATTGCAGTTAACACTGGATAAGCTGTGTACCATGTTGTCCATTAGTAAAGACAGTGTCCAGACCATCAGTTCATCCAGCGTTACCTGACAGTCAGCAGGAATGATTTCATCAAATGTTGTGTGCAGTAACTGCGGTAGATGGATGGTCAGTCCACTTTGCATCAGCCATTGAGGACTGACCAAATTCAGATTCATCCAGCGTCAGAGAGTGCTAACATCCACTGCTGAATCTCCATAACAATTCTTCAAATGTTTGTGGCTGCGAATTGGGGTCTTACCGCCAGCACTGAGAAAGTCTATGATAATAATAAGTTATTTTAACCGATTATCTTTCGAAGCCA